CAATCTCCTGGTTTCTAGACTGGGGCCTTAACCATTACACTGGTTCTCATATTAGATTATGAGCTACAGTCACTTCAATAGTGATTTATTTTAATAAATAAATAAATATTACATAATAAATAAATATTATATTACAATACACAATATATAATAGTTTACCTATTAGATGATATAGATATAGGTATGGATATATAGATATATTAAATATATTGCATGTGCTGCTAGACACTTTCTGTAACAGAAAACAAAAAAAACAAAATAACATTGAATCCTTTTCATTTGATGTCCCTTTAAATGAACAATCAACATTTGAAATTCTGTGGTATACCTGGACCGTGGCACGACAAAACCGCGCTAGTCAAAAGAGCGCTGACAAATACGCATTGACAAGTACGCGTCGTCATTAGCGTGCCCACATTACTGCGTCGATATCAGCGCAACAACGGCAGCGCAAAAAAGTGAATGCTTTGAATTAACGCTAGGAAAAGTTAACGTTTGTTTTAACCACAGTAAAAATTAACGTTTGTTTTAAATGTAAAATGCAACTTTTGAATGTTTTTTTAAATGTTTGTTTTATATGTAAAATGCAGCTTTTGAATGTTTTGTTTTACATTTCAACAGTGAAATGTAAATAGAAGTTTATTTTGTTGCATCAAATCAATCAGTTTTGTTGACTAGTTTTATTATTATTTATTATTTATTATTAAGTTTATTATGTCACTAAATAAGTTAGGTTTAGGGGTTTTGTTTAGGGTTAAGGACTAGTTTTATTATTATTTATTATTTATTATTTATTATTAAGTTTATTATGTCACTAAATAAGTGAGGTTTAGGGGTTTTGTTTAGGGTTTAGGACTAGTTTTATTATTATTTATTATTTATTTATTTATTATTAAGTTTATTATGTCACTAAATAAGTTAGGTTTAGGGGTTTTGTTTAGGGTTTAGGACTAGTTTTATTATTATTTATTTATTATTTATTATTAAGTTTATTATGTCACTAAATAAGTGAGGTTTATGGGTTTTGTTTAGGGTTTAGGACTAGTTTTATTATTATTTATTTATTTATTATTATTTATTATTAAGTTTATTATGTCACTAAATAAGTTAGGTTTAGGGGTTTTGTTTAGGGTTTAG